TTACTTAAATGCCTATTCAGTCTTGTTCTTCCCTTCTGAGATTTCTGCATGGGGCCTCCATCATAATGATATTTTATTATTATTATTATTATAGTGACATCCCATAGATACCTTTATACACAGCTTTACAGACAGATTTTTTTTTTTTCTGTGGCTTAAACAGGATCTGGCACCAAACTTCTGAAAAATGAATGCCAGAAAACACAACGTCTGCTTAAAGAAACCCTAGTACATGAAGGAGTTTGGAGAGTTTCCAAGGAAAAGTGCCCATTTACTGGCTTATTAGCTTTTATGAAAGCTTCATGGAGCAAAATCTCTTTCTTCTGTCAGGAATGACAGACTTCGATGAGCATGGACATTTGCAACTTGCAAGCAGGTAGTGTGCTATTTACCCCTCAAGATTTTATGGCAGTGGAATTTCAATGGCCTTCAAAGAGCTTTGGCTTGTAGGTGGAGATACTCACAAGGAAGCACAGCTGTGTTCATAAGGCCTGTGTGCTGAAGCTTCTCAGCGCCATGATATGCTCCCTGAATTTTATTTATTTATTTATTTTGACAAATTATAACTTTTGCAAGTTGACATTTGCAGGATCAGGTTCAGAATACTTGTCCTACCCCAACCTGCTGGCAGAAGCCATTCTGTTCAGAAGGATCATATCTCCACCTCTGACCATATAGCACTTAGAGACATTGAAGGTTTCTAGTTTTGGGGTTGTGCCACAGAGGGAGAAGCTGAGGTTTGTTTCAATGCTGGTCATTTGATCCAAGCTAATTTGGGCATATGGAAACCTTCACATATGCAAAGCCCCCCAGGGATGGAACAGAATATCTCTTTTAGGACACCAGCTCTTCTTCCAAACTACATCCATAGCAATCCAGCCAGGCCAGTCCTTGCGGAGAGATTCTTAACAGAAATACAAAGATTGGCAGGAATGTTGTAGGGATGGAAGTGTGCACGTGTGAGAAAGCACTGAAAGAAGCAGCAGAACAAGGGTTACAAGAACATCCTGTATTGATAACAAGGGACACCATTCCCATGACACTGCTCCCACGACACTGCACCCAGGAGGATCATAGAGGAATGCGTTGTTTCTGGCATGACCACAGGGCCTACGCTCCATTCAGGTAACAGCACAGACGATTTGTCAGTGGAAGATCTCACGCCTTCCTGCCAGCAAGCTTACAGCAACCTAATGTGCCATTCCTTTTCCTGTTACCCCAGCAGGAAAACAGACATATCCTGCCAGCAGCAACAAATGAGCTGCCCAAACACCAGGGACTTCTGTGAGAAGGCACAGGGCTGCAACTCCCATGTTTGTTTCAGTGGTGTTTTCCTTTGTGATCTGAATTCCTCTTCACAAGGCACCACGCAGATATGGGACAAATAGACTGTCACCTTCAATTCCAGGCCTTCCACACTGGGGTCTTTGGGCGCAGTCCTCAGGCACATGCAGGATGCCCGTACTGTGAAGCACCCTGCCACACCGCCCATGCTGGCAGTGACAACACAGTGTGTTGGATCCCGTACCTACAACTTCTGCTCCTTTCTGTCCTGGAGCTTCTTCCCCATCCCGCTGCCTGTTTTCATTCCCCATACCCCCTCCCACTGAGCTCACAGAAGAATCTTCATAGAATGAGGAGATGCAGAGAGGGAAAACAGATATTGCCTGAATTGGCCTGTTTTATATCTGTTTCTGGAAAAAGGCAAAGCCAGTATCTGAAAGAATACTCATTTCCTGATTTTTTTTTTTTTTAATTTTAATTATCATGTTTTCTTTGCTTTTACTTAAAGAAATCCCAAACATTTTAATCCATTTATTCCTATTTAATTCCAGCTTTGATAACATGAGACAAACGCATTTAATTTGGCATATTGTATTGCACATTATATTTAGCCATAATTTTTCAGTGACTATTGTTTCTGAACTCTCAGGCAGTAAGGAAGTTCGTCTGTATGTTTAGCATATAGAAACAATGACAACCAGTGCTGTGTGGCCAAGAAGTGCTCCAATCCATGAATTACAGATGAAAAGCATTATACTATGGTACACTTCATATTTATAAATAACTTCTTGGAGCAAGCATGGGAAAAAAAAAACAACAAACAAACAAAAAAAAACCACAACACATACATTTTAAAGTTACTACTCTATTTTCATTATTATATGTTATCATATATTCTATTTACTACTGTATAATTACAGTACCTTGACTAAACTGTGGCCCAATATTCAATAGGCAATTCCAGTGAAACAGACAATGACAGTAAGAATTCTTTTCCTTCAAAAGGGTATTCAAAAAAATAATAATACTGTTTTAGAGAACTTTTTTTTTTTTTAATAACTTCAAAATTTGGCTTTCTGAGTATTAGCAGACCAACGGATAAAATGTAAAATCCATTTTCTGTCTTTTATGGGGGTTTGCAGACATAATAAAAGGAATATGGAGTAATGCACTACTTAAGATGTCACCTTGAACTGTAAAACTGTACAAAGTGTTACTTATATAGAGATACTAACACTACATAAATAGCTATTTTCATAAAAAGATACAAGTAAAAATTAACCAACTATAGACATGCAAATCAATATGCAAACAAGACTTCCAAACTGAAGACCACTTTTACAAGTAAAACTGAAGAAAAAAAATTCATTCAGTTGGATTTTAGCATGGATGTAAAAACAGTCACTGTCTTCTTCACCCTTTTCATTCACACCAGACTGACAGTATAGTGGATGTCACTTGTTTCTCTGCAGGTTTCTGTCCTCTGCAACTGATGCACTTTTCTCAGTAGCAAGCTGGTTTTTCTAACTGTTGCTCCTGTGCTGGTGTAGTTGACAGCTTTGCTTTCCATCGCACACAGTGTTTACAAGGTAAAATCCATCTTGAGATCAATGTAATTTCACTTCTGACTCAAGTTTCTGATTCATATTTGCTGTAACATTAACCACATGGTAACCAATTTTAACCCTGTGCCTAAATGAGTCATATTGAAAACTACATAATTGTATGAAAACATTAACTGATGGCTTTTAAGCAGATTTAATTCATTTTCCTAATATTTATCTCAGCTGCTGGCCGTCTCAGGCAGTGCCTCTCACACACCTGGGACAACCGGGTTGGAAATAATTTGGTTAGAAATTAACCCGTTTGGTTGGAAATTAACCTATTTGGTTGGAAACGAACCCGTTTGGTTGGAAATAACGAGCCCGCGGCTGCCCCGCGCCGACCGTTAACGGCCAGCACAGCGGCACGCGCTCGGGGGCAGCTGTCCGTTAAATCCCCCTCCCCGCCCAGCGCCATTTTGGAGAAGAGGCTGCCGCTGGGGGCAGGAGGGAGGTCGTCAGCGGGGCTTGCAGGTTGAGGGAGCTAACTTGTGAGGTAAAATGTAGAGGGTTTTTGTTTGTTTTTTGCTTAAATCCATTTATTGCTTCAGTGAGGGCTTCAGTGTAACAGTCAGGTTCTTGTCTGGTCATTAACGCCTCCCCCAGCTCGCTTTCGTAATGCATGCTTCAGTGTGGAACATTTCTTCTCCAAGTACATCAGTTACGCACCTATTAGAGCTTCTATAATCCAAGAGGTAGAAAGGGCAGAGTAGCAAGTGAGAAGTTTTCAAACTGCTTTGGAAATGCAAGCTGAAAAGTACTGGTTAGTCCCATAGAAACAACACCGCTCTTGTCTTGCAGGAAATGTCTTGACAATGTTTCCATTTATATCAAACATACAAGTGAAATGTTGATACTCCCATGCAACTTTTTGTTATTCTTGCTAGTTTAGTCAGTAATCACAAAATAAGAGGCCATTTCTGATGGATAATTTATTCAGTCCTCTTTTTACTTATTTTCAGAAAATGCTCAGAAAGTTTCCACTTTTTTTTTTTTTTGTCTGAGTTTGTGAATTTATTTGGAAAATATTTTCCTGAATGAATATTTTATGAACAACTTGTTGTGGATATTTATTAGTCAAATTTTAGCATTAATTCAGGGTTGGTTAGGCACCTAAGTAGTATGGTTTCTGCATCATAATTGAGTGACTTGTGCAGCTTACCCACACATTTTCCATTTAAAGTGTGAATAATCATATTCAAGCATGTATTTTGGACTATTTACGCTTTCACGTTTAAGTTTATTTTTGCAAATTTATGTAAAGCTACATTAAAAAAAAATCTAAAATATTAGAGGATTTTTTTTGCATTGCTTACTGATGACTTAAAATTTTTCCATTGCTTACTACTTTCCGTTGCTTACTAATTATTTTTTGCTGCCCTAGATTTTTCCTGCAGTTTCAGCAGAGAGTAAAGCCTTCTTTCACTTCATCTTGAGAAGTTCCTACGTTCTGAGAAACGTTTGTCACAGTACACTGCAGAGGGATCTTCACTCCAGTGAAGTCTGTTTATCCAGTGAAGTCCTGTGGGATACTTTAAAGAAAGGTATCTCAAGATGTCATTTTTTTTTTCCATATTTATTCTAAAATGACATTCATCGCTCTTAAACCTAGGAATATATTGATTAAAATGAGGCATTTATGTACATATTTATTTATATGTTGAATAGAAATAATTTTTCAAATCTGTAGATCTTTAGTTTCATTTAAAGTCAGTGACAGACATACTTAATGCTTACTGAAATAAATAGCTATTCACATGGTGATATTTAAGCATTTAGCTCTAGCATGACTGCGCCTTTTTATTCTCTAGCTGTAATTTCTAGATATCCTTCATCACAAGGAGTGCAAAGCAAATTTGGTAATATTGACCATGTGCAGCAGAAGCTATATTATCTACAAGAATTTTCTTAGTTTTGTAATAAACTTCAGTTAAATCTACGGATTGCTAGTGTCTGAAAAAACATTTGCTTTTGGTGGTTATAGGTGAGAAATGCAGAATACCAGGGAAGGTTTTTCACTGAAGTTACAGCAGAGCATTGCTATGTAGGGATAAACATCTTGCTTCCTAGGTAATTAAATTCCTCATTGCTGGTCAGCACTGCTAGTTTAATCTGTCTCAGTGCAATTAAGAACCCTATGTCTTCCGTGTAAGAATCAGATATTAGCAAGGACCTGGAGTTGTCATGGCAGTGGAGAATCACTAGAGAAAGCAGAGGAAAGAATTTGGGGTAACTCCGTTACTGTGGGGATGGCAGAGCACTAGCACAAGTTGCTCAAAGAGGTTGTGGAGTCTTCCTGCTTGGAGATGTTCAAAAATAATCTGGACACGGTCCTGGGCAACTGGCTCTAATTGATCCTGCTTGAGCAGGGTGTTGGACCAGATGGCCTTTGGAGGTCCCTGCCAACCTCAGCCATTTTGTGGTTCTGTAGCTGCAGGGGAAGGAACGGCGTGCTTGAAGTAAGGAAAGAATCTGTAGTTGTACTTTAAACAGGAGATTATAGTGAAAGCATAACTAGGGGAGAGAGAAAGAAAGTTTAGGAGGTAAGGAAAGGCCTAAAGTATTTCAGGATACAGAGTAGTGTTCAGGAACTGAAAAATAATTTTCGTCCTGTAAAAAATGGTTTGGAGTTATTGATTACCTCACATCTGAAATTTTGTCAGCAAAAGCATCAGAGAGTATTATCGGTGTCATTGTAGAGTAGTCAAATGCTTTTTTTTTTAAATCCCTGATCAAGATCACTTCTTCCTCTGACATAGCCAATTGACATATTCACTGTCTCATCTTGTCATTCAGGGAGATTATGTCATTTTGATGAAAGAGCCATTTATGAATCTCACATACCTACAGGACAGCAGAGCATATTGCCAAGCTGTTTTTGTCTCCATACAGATGCATTATTTCACTTTCAGTTGGCTTATCATTTATTTCATGACTGCAGGAGTAATTTTTTCTCTGTAACGCGTTCTATATGTAAGGTAGTTGTGTATTTGTCTCCTGGATGTTTAGAAATATACTAGTTGTTTCCTGATGAGATCTACCTTTTCCTTTACTGGAGGTGGAACCATTCCTACTGAAGGGGTGCCATAATGTCTTCTGGGAGGAAGAGCAGCTGTCTCAAGCTCAACTTGGGAAAAACTGAAGTGGTATTGTCCAAAATACTCATTTTCTTCAGGAAACATTTGCCTTCCCAATTAGTCCAAAAGCCCAGGCTCTGAGCATTATTTCATGCAATAGACAGCTTTAAAGGGCAGTAAGAGACATGGGGAAGAGGTACACAAGGAAGCACAGTCACTATCATTTGTATCTCAGATATTGTCTCCTCTGCCAGAACACTGGTATATTGACTGAATCACAGAGTTGATCACAAATCTGCCGTGGACCTCCAGAAAATGAGTTATGGAAGCCACCAAAGCAAGTTATGCTCTCATAGACAGAGCTTTTTCTTTGTGAGGATATTCATAGCCCTTTTATGAAGATATTTGACTGGCTAGTTTTATTTGGTAGATATGGAATGATATGGCAGAAGTTTTTACTGACATTTTTGATGGTTAGAATTTTCAGTATGAGTCACTCTATGACACCCCCCACACAATCATTTCCAAACAGCTTCTCCTCAGATGTTTGTCAAATTCCCTGACCAAGTCTCATGCTCTTTATAGGAGCATTACAAGGAATTTCAAGCAATAGTCTATGAAGAACTGACATCCAAGATCTGATTCTTCTGATACTAGAGATTAATCCATAATGCGTGCTGCATCTGTAACCCATTTATACAGCAGTGGACGCCTCTTTTTATTGTAGATTTATGCAACAGTGGTCCCAGTTCATTGTTTTTTAGGGCTGATTCATTTTTTTTTTTGCATTTCACAGTGTTAGATACTTTGCTACTTTTAAGGATTTATGCCACAACATGCTAGTTTTCAGAATTTGAGGGTTTTTTGATGCACACCTATGACTCCATTTTTATAATTTGATTTTTATGCATATCAGACATTCCCTGGCTTTTTGTTTCTCCATGTGCAAGAAACACAAAGAGAAATGAGTTTCCTGGGCCGTTTTGTCTAGATACAATCTCGTCTGAACACTTGATGTCATTGGGCAGTTTGGGTTTGTTATCTGGGAGAGCAATTCTTACATTTCTCCAGGGGATGAGAAGATATTCTGTACATTACCGTCAGTCACTGTATGAGAAGCAAACAGATGTCAGAAAGACAAACTGATAGCTGAATTAGCACATCATATTAATGGTTATGCTGTTGGAAATGGTATAAGCCGTCTGATGAATGAAGACCAACTATGTAGTAAGGTAAATCTACAAAAGAAAGCAACTAAAACATAAGGAGGTATTGTGTAGAATCATAGAATATCCTGAGTTGGAAGTGACCCACAAGGATCAGTTACTTAATTAGTTATGTTTAACCTCTTAACTTTACCACTTCTTTTTCAGTATAATGTACTCTAGAAAAAGCTCTGCAGTTTTTTTTTTTTTGTTTGTTTGTTTGCTTTTCCTGGTAAGGTTTCCATTGGCTGAACAGATTATAAATCAAGAAAAAACTTATTATGATTAAAATAAAAAATGCAAAGGGCTGCAAGTAGCAGAAGCGGTACAAACAGTGAAAGGGGAATCTTAAAAGTGAGAATGAGAACGACACATGCTACTTACCTCTTATCATCTGAATTGTATAACTTTCCTTGTGGTTTTGTATATAGAATACCAGTCTGTCTGGTAGAATTACATCTTCTGTTTTAGTAACTGACATAATATTAAAGGAATGACACCCCAAGAAATCAGTATTTTACAAAGTTTAAAACAGATCTTGTTTCCACTGCTTACAGCTTAGATTCCTATCATTTTAACCAAAGTACATGTAGGGTGTTTTACAGTGTTTACTGCCAGTTATTCTTTTTTAAATGACAACTCATGCAGTTATGGATGCATTGCATGATCTGTAGAGGATTCATGAGAATCGTGCGTGTTCATGGAACAGAAGAAGGAACCACCAACCACAGGCAAGGAAACAAAGTTCTTTTTAGATTATTAACTTTGCAGATTGCACCCATTCATTTGCTACCTCTTAATTCTTTCCCCTGGGCCCATAGCATGACATGTCAAGCAAAGGGCAAAAGCATAACTTTGTTATCTGGCAGATGTCCACATTATATAGCTCAGTGCTCCATGGAAGGTGAAGTAAAAGCTATGTATAGATGTGACCTTAGGCACACGCAGATGCTGCACGCAAGTACAGTAATGCTAATCAACCAAGTAAAGCTGCAGTATCAGGGACTAGGTGAGTCAGCAAAGCTTCTGCAAAGAGAACATCAGGCATAACAGTTGCTAAGATACCAAGGTTGCAACAAAAAAAAAGTAATACTAAGTGAGTTTCCTTATTAATAACTTGCTGCAGCATGTGTGTAGTAACAGTGGCAAGCAGAAAAAACAATGGACATGAAGAGCAAGTTCAGTCATACGGTAGGGAGGAGCAGGGCCGTAAGTGGGACTTCTGAGGCTCATCCTGCTGGAAAAACGGCGGCAGCAGTGGCAGGTTAATAAAGAGCTATTACATGTTCATTTTCGTTTTGTTGTGAATGTGGCTGTTGGCTTGAATTTTGCTGGAAAAGTATGGGTTTTATCAGGTACAATATCTGAATGTTAGCATCTGTGTAATGGAAACCATTTTAAGCTCATTAATCCATGCCTAGGACTTGCCTTAACATTTGGCTTTACTAAAAAGATGCTGTTCTTGTTGACTGGAAAGTGATAAAGTGATTTCAGTGCGAGGAACCACTTTTAGTGGCAGACATTGTCATTTGTATTTGAAAATAATGTTGTAAATAATGCTGTACTTTATGAGCTGATATGTAATATTTTTAAGTAATTGAGAAGTTGGGAAATCTGCCTACTATCCTCAGCAAGCTGCTTCTGCTTAAATATATATTGTTTTTTGTTGTTGTTTTGTTTTGTTTGTTTGTTTTCCCAGTTCCAGAGTGTGAAGAGAGATTTATTTTCTTTGGATGGCTAATACAGACTATATGGATAATAAAAATATGGCTTGCTTTTCAAGAAGAAAATGTTTACTAGATAGTCTGAGGTCTTGAAAAAACAACTAAGATTGTCCAGATGTTTAGGTTCTCTGACCTGACTTGCATTGTGTTTGTATTGATTCTGGTAAAAATGCCACGCGTAGCACAAATGGTTTTATTCAAATTAGCCACTTAACGTTTTGAGACTTTCCGTAATGCTGACTATTAAAATGGGTTATGCTTTAATTACATTACAATTTTTAAAGAGCATAATGAAAGCCTTAAGCAAGTTCTGCAGAGCAAGATTGAAATACTTACCCCTGAACTTTAAATTCACAAACTTGCCTAAGAGAAAGTGCACAAGAGATTGAACAAATAGGTCTTTGTTACCAATACAAGTATATGAAAGTAGGAAGCATGGAATATACAGAATTGTGTGTGTGTGTGGGGGGGGGGTGGTGCAGAGTGCAGCAGAAAAAAAAAACAGAGAAAAATGAGGGTTCTGGGAAAAGGAACATGG